TTCACTGGCACACGGCAAAGCTCGGCCGAGCCGGCTGCTCCCTCCTCCCCGGCCACAGCTGGAGCGCACGGATAATGCTGCATTACCTTCGCTGCAGGGCTGCTGCGATTAACAGCGGCAGAGAGCTCCCAAATCCTCCGGGGACGGGGATGGCAGGGATTAATGCTCGCCTAGATGCTCCCCCAGGACCATTTGCCAATGCCGTGCCCCATTTTCTTTATTCTTTGCTATTTACTTTTATTTTTTGCTGGGACCTGGGTGGTGTTTAATCTCATTTGGCAGTTATGGATTGTCTCCAAAACAATCAATGTCTGTGCATTCATCTGCATCGCTCAGCTGATCCCACAGGGACGAGCATGCAGCGCTGGCGGGAGCCTCGGGCAGAGCATCCCTGCTCTCGCTGGCCAAGGATCCAACTTTGCTCCGTGTTTCCAGGGGGAAACAAAACCTTTGGTGGTAGCAGGCAGCTCTGCCTCAAATTAATTTCGGTGCCTTCGGGAAAATATCCTGTGTCATCCTGCAAATCAGGCAGAAAATGAAGCTCCCCATGCCTTCCCTCCTGCCTGTGTACTGTACAGGCACGCACGTGTGAGGATGGAGAATCAATGCAGCCCAGAGCCTGCGCAGCGGGATTCTATCCCCGTGTCTCATCTCGTACCAAAAATCACGACAAAAATACAACCCTGCCTTTTGTCAGAAGGAAAATACCCGGAGTTCAGCAAACTGCCAAGTTCTCCGTGTTGAAATTTCCGCTGGCAGCTGCTCCCCGCAGCATCCCGGCCAGCGGAACGCCCCGCGGGATGCAGGACCCCAGAGCCCCCGATCCGGGCTGGCAAACCCGCCCAGGTCGGCATCCTGAGCTCCTCGGGATCTGTCACGTCAGCAGCTGCGCAGAGGGCACCAAGCCATGCGAGAAACGGGCATTTCTTCAGAAAACACGGGACCCGGAGCGTGAATCGCGGCTGAGTCACTGAAACACGAAACTCACTGAAGGGATGAATTAGAGCTATTAGAATATAGAGGTAATTACTCATGTGAACAATGCCCTGCTCCGCTCTTTAATGATTACACAAATTAGTGTATAAAATTATGTTAATGGCTCTGCGAGCGGCACATGCAGCCAGCCGGGAGGGGCCGCAGAGGTGAGGGACCCCCTGAGCCCCCAGGGCAGGGCGAGGGAGCGCGGGGAGAGGCGGCAGCCCCTGATCCTGCGGCTCTGCCCGGCTCCGTGCCCATCCCACGGCTCTGCCAGGCTCCGTGCCCATCCT